ACTGCGAGATCCGGTCTGTCTTCATTTTTTTTTTTTATTCTACTTTATTATAATCTCACGGTTAGTACCTTGATTTTGGCGTGTTCCTCAAAGTTTATGAATAAATATCGGCCTGGTTGTATGGAAAAATTGGACTTGTAGTCCCCAATATTTGAAGCGATTGCAGTTGAGTCCTCACACTTCTTTTTCCTCCTCGCTTTTAGGTTCTCAAACCCTTTTTTTTTTTTTTTTTTTGAAGTTTGAGTTCCAATCTTCAATTTTTAGAAAACTTGGATTCTTTTAGATGGAAACTGGACACCAGAAGTTTTGTGGGGTGTATTCAATTTGATCTTTAATTTTTTTTTTTTTAGGAGATTGACTTTTGTAGAATTTAATGAATTGTTTATAGAGTCTCCTCCCATTCATAGTCCTTGTTCATTTGCCCCACGATCTCACCATTTCTATATTGTTCTCAATATTATCTCCACCCTATCATTGTTTGTCCATGTCCCTGTCCCTGTCCCTATTAGGAATAGTGCGTCGTTTATAAGTAGTCAAGAATAATACCTACAATATTTATATACATGCTACGTGAGCCTGTGTAGAATAATATAAGGAGGAGATAGAGACACCAAACCAAGTTGATTTTTCCTTTTGTAGCAATTAAATAAAACTGTCCGTAATAATTAAAGAGCTATTAAAAAAATATGATAGTTGATATTAAATTCGGAAAAAAATAAAGTGATAATATTGTCATACAAAATAAAATCATATTCCAAAACCTAAAAATAATCCCTAATATTAACAAAAATTCAACTGATATATAAACAAAAATAATAACTTAACATAAATACCCTTTACTTCTTGAGGTGTACCCTACTTTCCCTTGAATGCATTTCACGAACTCTATTCAATTGATTGGTGTCGACATCATGGCATGTGATGTTGATATAAACACCCGTTTTCGTTTCATGTAAATGATTAATTGTTGAAATAGTTAAGAGGTTTCTAAATTAATTTGTTCCATGAACTCTATTATAATGTCCCTAGAATTTCTTTGGAAATTAATCAAGTCGTTTTTGTTTGAAATATTAGAATGTTACATCTCAAAAAAGTATGTGCATCAATATTATGCATAGATTTCACACCATTTAACTCGACTGATATTCACAACTTAATGAGATGTTGATTATTTAATGAGGATTTTAACTGATGAATGCATGTCGTATAAATGAAAATTCTACGAAAACTATAGAGCCTGTTTGTGAGTAATTTTGAGAATTGATTTTTTGATCGTTGGCAGAAAAGTGAGGTCCATCTAGAATAGAAGAAGTCAAATATGACGGTTGGAATAGTAAAATAACGGTTAAAAAATCAATTTTTTGAGAAAAAAATCACACCTAAACATGCTCATAATAATAAGTTGAGGACGAAATGTTCCGTTTGAAGTTGAAGATCAACTTGCCAATTGAATATTCAAAACCAAAAGGTGGAGTTTCCCTAGAGGTTGAGCCGTTGAGGCTAGTTTTCAGGTTCGTAGTTGTCATTGGATTTCCAACCAATTCAGGTGCATGTACTTAATTTTTGAGAGGAAAAAAGGTATACTTCATGAAACTTACTTTTAGTTCTTTACGATTTATTTGAATTGTATAGCTTTATTATGGCCCGTCGTTGTCATAGGATCCTACCTTAGAAGTGGCAACCAATGACAATTGAGTTCAAAGGCTCGACCTATCTGAAAGTTATATGTAATGTTTGAGCCAACTCAAAATCATGGTTGATCTCTAGGGGCAAACAAGTTGATCTTAAAATATTAATTGAGCTTACTATAAGAGCTTGTTTTAACATATTTTACATCAACAAAAGAATATATATTTTGGAGAGCTAATCATGCACGTCTAAGACTACATTAAAAATCAATTGATTGTACAAATGACTATAATTTCTCCAAAAAATGGACAAACGAAGAATGAATGTGGACATTATAAGATAGCAACGAGACGTGGAGAATTGACTGCGATATTTAATCTTTTAATTTAAAAAATGACAACCATGTTCCTCAAACTTTAAAGTTGTATATGTTTGAGTTCTTGTGCTGTTTCAATATTTGAAACTTAACCTTCGACTTTTAAAGTTCTTAGATATATATATATTTTTTAATAGAGTGGTCGAATATACATGTCAGTTAGTGAAAAACAATTCTGTAGCAATATATGAATGAAATCAATACAAATTTGAAAGAAACATTGAAAAAAAAAAATGAATCCTAAAATATTATTTATTAGTCATTATGGAATCTACACTGTCACTGAAGTTAACTTTAGAAGCTAGACAAGCAAAATAAGAACAATTCTATAGGTATAGAATTACATTTCACAGAATGCCAATAGATAAGACATAAAAGGGAGTTGGGATGAATTTTTGGCATATTTTTAATCACAACATAAGATCCGCACAATATAAAATTTATGGTGCAATCATGTAGAACAGTTTTCTATGCAAGTGGAATAAGTGGCAAAATAATTGACTCTATTCTTCATAACTCTTCTAATAATATAACGAATCTATCAAAAAATAAATTGACAATACAAATGTGTGTAATCTCCAAAAAAGGACAAATGTATGAGATGTGGAGAATCGACTGCGAGATCCGGTCTGTCTTTTAATTAATTAATTTTTATTCTACTTTATTATAATCTCGCGGATAGTAACCTTGATTTTGGCATGTTCCTCAAAGTTTATGAATAAATGTCGGCCTGGTTGTATGGAAAAATTGGACTTGCAGTCCCCAATATTTGAAGCGAGCGCAGTTGAGTCCTCACACTTCTTTCTCCTCCTCGCGTTTAGGTTCTCAAACATAATAAATTTTTTATTTTATTTTATTGAAGTTTGAGTTCCAATCTTCAATTTTCAGAAAACTTGGATTCTTTTAGATGGAAACTGGACACCAGAAGTTTTGTTGGGTTATATTCAATCTAAACTTTTAAATTTTTTTAGAATTTTTTTTTCTAGGTGAATGGCTTCTGTAGAATTCAATGAATTGTTTATAGTCTCCTCCCATTCATAGTCCTTGTTCATTTGCCCCACCTTTCACCATTTCTATATTGTTCTCAATATTATCTCCACCCTATCATTGTTTATCCCTGTCCCTATTAGGAATAGTACGTCGTATATAAGCAGTCAGAAATAATACCTACAATATTTATATACATGCTATGTGAGCATGTGTAGAATAATATGAGGAGGAGATGGAGACACCAAACCATGTTGAAGATGAATAGGAGATGGAAGATTTGAAAAACGTTACGAAATACTATCCAAGAAGTGATATTTGCCTCATCCCTCTTTTTTAGATTACTTATGGGGTTCATCGACATATAACTCGATGATATGACAAGTCTTCATGACTTCGCATGAAACAAAGATGAAAAACTCGCGAAGGAAAGATGAAAATTTACAAGGAACAATGAACAATTTGATTTTCTAAATTTAAGATTTTTAAGTAGAGATATAATTGTACGTGACTATTAAACTTTGTATTTCTCCAATCCACTGAAAACTCACATGCACAGATGGTTGATAACTTGAGGTAGATAGAAGTGCAATCGAGATCAGACACAAGATCATAAATGCAAATTCATGCACGAATTAACGAATGAGATCATAATTGAAGAACATGTTGAAAAAAATGGCTTTATTGGGGCTGCTTTAGCATAATTTTGAGTGAGATCCATTCCTTCTTTTGGAAGATCAAAATAGATTTGCATTCTCCTTTGTTAAAACATCAAATCCATATATTTATATGCCAAAATTGATACTAGGATGAATGAAAAATTAGAGTTCAAAATGCACCAATTAGAAGCAGTTTACGTGTTAAGAAGGAAAATAATAAAGGTTTGTTCCACAGAGTAAAATGATCAAGGCAAAGACTAATTTATATATAACTAAACTTTTGAAGGGTGTAACAATGTATAGCATAGAGGTTCTCTTCATGTACGCACGCGAAGGTGCAAATCATGGTTTGAATGAGCACATCGAGCCTTAACTTGTATGCTAGTTCGATCTGTGTACATGAATGCCAGATCGAAAGGATAAAAAATTGGCTCTTAGAGGGATCCACTTTTTTAAAAGAAAATAAATTTCAAGAAATGAGAGCCAAATAGGGGCAAATGATTCGAGCAATGTGATTTCAAATCACCTTTTTTGTACACATGGGAGTCCTAATTCGATATTTCAAAAGCCAAGGTATCTAAATGAATATTAGCCGATAAAGAGAGATTAGGAAATGTCTGGGAGCAAGTTCCTGACTCGGAATCTATTCACGTACAGATAGTTGATGGCCAATCATATTCTATAGAAATTATTGTAGATGCCAGCATGTCATCATTCACCCTCATCCTGGAAGAAAACAAAATGTCCCAAAGAATTGATAAGCGCCCCTCGTTGGTTAGTATATAAATAAGATTTTTAGTAAATTTTGATAAAAATTGATAGAACACGTGATTGAAAAATTGTGAATTTCACGAGTGTGTTTTTATAATTAATTATTAACTTTAACTTAGATTTTAATTCAATTTTTAAAATGAACCAAATAAGAGCATACTTATGAATAAAAAAAATAAGTTATTTACCCAATTTGTCTATCATTATATCAAATTTTTTTTCCCATACTCATTTTCACAATAAAATATTTTACATATAAATTCAAAACATTTTTTCCTACTTTTTAATTACATATTTTCCAAAAATTCAATATTTTAAACTCATTTTCCTATATTAATGATAGACAAACACGTGTTAAATTATAATGTGATAAAAATAAGTGAACAGTACTTGTGAATTTTACTAAATATGTGATTGAAATTAATATTTAATTTTAAAAGTAAATTATAAATTACTTTTATATTTTCCAAACATAGATTTATAACAAGAATTAAGAATTCTACTAGCAAAGAATATCCTATTTTCCTATAGGGAGACTGGAAAATACGACAAAAATGTTGTGTGTTTAAATATATGATTTAAAATGTCCTCCCTACCTTAATTTATTCAAACTTGCAGTGAACATAAGCAAAACAAGAGGACTAGGAGCTCAAGGTGTCTGCAATTTGGAACAAATCCCATTAGAAAAGCCTGATATTTTCTACCGCTTCTCAAAAGGTAAGTAATCATTTTCTCTCTCCTATCACCCCCAAACATGCATGAACTGCTAATCCCATAATTCGGCGCTAAATATGGAAATTTATTTTTGAAGAATCAGCTTGAATTTCATGAAATTTTTTCTGTTGAGGTAAATTGATTCTTGACCTTTGTCTCTATGTCTACTTCTATATTTAGCCTCCACTCAAGCCCGTAATTTCTGCCAGTATGTTCTATAATTTATTTTTCTTTCCTTTGAATGAATTCTTGTTTTGATCCCCCATCAATTTGTTTTCTAGATCTGTTTATGTATAGATATATTTGAAGGTGATATCTTCTTTAGATTTTGAAGCCTTGAGGAGTGAAAGCAAATGAAGAATTCGGTTTCGGACCAGAGTTTTTACGTAGAGAGTGAAGGAGATGATGAAGAGAAGGAAGACAACAAAGGTGAGGATGATGCAGATGGAAATGATTCTGATTCTTCCAATTACTCGAATGATGACGATAACTACAATCAACGAGAGCAAAGCAAAGTCAACAGCCAGTGGCCTCAAAGTTACAGGTATAGATTATATATTCACCTCTCAGTATATTTGTGTTATTATTTTCTTATCTGTTGGGTTTTATGATGATTCTGTTTTAGAGTTTTTATCATTATATTATTGGTTCTGTTTCGGTTCTTGGTACACAATTCTTGTGAAATGAATCATGCTGTTAATCTTGGGCATTAGATACTTCATAAACTTCCTTGTTGCAATGGCAGGTAGATTGAGAATGAAACACTGTAAATGTGTGTGTTTTGTGCATTTCTGTTTTTGTTTTGTGTTTTACTGTTCTTGTAATTGGGACTAGAGCTTAACGCCTAGCTAATTTTTATGTTATGAAGAAAAATGCTTTGTAAAATGATTGATTAGCCCTTTGTGACTGTTTGGCTAAGATGTTAAGTTTGCCATTTAAGAAAGTATACTAAGAGAGGGAATGTTGTGCTTTCTGTGAAATGAGAGCATTGATGGTATCTAAGTCGTTCGTTCAATGATCGTAAGCTAGAAAATTATATTTGGAATGATAATGTACAATTTCTGGAATAGATCATAAAGGAATATGCAATCTCTGCACATTCGACAGTTTTAAAGAAGAATATTAGCTAAAACCTTATCTGTTGCTCTGTGGAGTCCTGCCAAGTAATGTGTACTATGTTCCAAACGTGCTATTACAGCATTAGTTGGTTGTCTCGATATAAGTTGTATTCATCAGATCTACCTTGATATCTATTTAGTTATTTTGCACTTTGCTCCCGCTGGAAGAACCACAATTTCTCTAAGCTATCTCAGTCAAGCTGCTGGCTATCTGAGGTCAAGAACTTAAAGTTTGAATTTTAATGTACCTAAATTTAGTATGCTGATGTTTGAAAGTTGATTCAACTTGTAATAAAGTCTACAAGTTTTCTGGATGATACCGCCCGATGGCAGGGACAACTCATGGGAAGGAAAAATCTGAGGATAAAAAAAAAAAAAAAAAAAGAAAAGTAGGAAAAGAAGAACGTACAGAATTCTATTATTGAACAGTCATGCTACTTGTACAGTTTTTTGATACATTTTTTGGATGCTGAGGTGGTATCTGTCAAAACACCCCTGTACAGGCAGCTTAATTCACTATTGAAATGGTCATTATCAGCATATAGTTTTGCAAGTCATTTCTGGAGTGTGTATGATTAGCCGTCTGTATTTATTTTTGGACTACATTGGAGGAGATATTTTATGAATGAGTAGATACTGTCCAAGTATGCAAGTATAATGGTGTTTTATTCTTGTCTACATGCATAATGTGGAAAATAAATTAAGAATCATGTTTCATCCAAGTAATTTTTTATCTCGAATTGCTTTCCTGTGTACTTCGAAATACTAAATCTGTTGAAAATACTTGTTACAGGCAATCAATTGATCTATACAGTAGTGTCCCATCTCCTAGTCTTAACTTTCTTGGGACACCCTCGTTGTCCCGCTTAAGCAGCTCATTTCTTTCCTCATCGCTTACAAGGAGACACACTCCTGAGATATTACCTACTCTGAGCAAACCGCTCATATCTGCCATAGACGATGATAAAGAGCAAGATAGACATACTTCCCATCTTCCAATTCCGCCTACCTCAACAAGGAAGCCTAGCATAAAGAAAACAAGTATTTATGAGAAAACTTCAAAGGTCTCACACGAACTTCCAATTTCTCGCCAGAGCTCATACAGACAAGCAGTGATAAACGGTATGTCATTTGAATATGGTTTCATTACTCAAATAACTAGGCAGATTGATTGTTAGAATCTGTTTGTTAAAAATATAGAAAGGCAGTTTGATTGATTGATGATTTTATGCTGAGTAGAACCAAAAAACTTTCGATTGCTGTACTTTATTCAATTGAACATAGGTGGCTCAACAAATCAAACTGGAATTCTGTTTATGATTCATTAAAACTGTTGCTCAACACATAAAATTTAAATTTCTTATGTTGCGAGCTCATGCAGGGATGAATGTTCTATGTGGAGTTGGAATCCTTTCTACTCCTTATGCTGTCAAAGAAGGAGGCTGGGCTGGGCTTTCTATATTGTTGATTTTTTCAGTGCTCTCTTTCTACACTGGGATTCTCCTACGTTACTGCTTGGACAGCGAACCCGGCCTTGAAACATACCCGGACATTGGCCAGGCTGCCTTTGGTACTGTGGGACGTGTTGCAATATCTGTAAGTCTTTCTATTCCCTACTTCTCTTCTTATAAAGTTCTCTGTGTTAAATCACAAGACTTGACAAAATTCTGCGTTAGCTATCAACCTAGTGCTACCCTCATCGTTTATCCAGGAATGGGACCGGCTATAAATAATATAAGCAGAACTTTTTGTTTTAATTTTAATAAAGTATCATGTCTGAAAAATAGAAATAGATTGCTTGCTTCGGTATGTGACAAAATAAAATATAGCATGCAATATTTCTGCAACATCATGTGACACTAGTTCAAAATGATATCATTACTGTGTATGCTTTGTTTCATTCCATGTTTCGTTTTTCTTTTTCCAAAAGCTCAGGGATAAAAGAAATCATTATGATATAAGGGTAATCGTTTTCATCAACATTTTCGATGCCATTGTTGTAACTTAACTACATTAAAGGAAAAAAACAAGTAGTAGTTTAACTGCTGTTTGCTTCCTTTTTCATGTCTTCCCTAATGCTTGATTTAAACAATTTCTTTCAATATGTAATCCTATACGCAATTAACTTAAAGGCGTAGTTTGATTTACCTTTTTTTCTCTTACAATACATCTTCTGTCTTGTGATTGAACAATGCATTAAGTTGCAAAATGTAAAATAGTTCTCCTTGACCTAAATGTTTTCTTCCTTTCTTATCTTCTATCAGAAAACTTATTGTTACATTAAGAATTTTCTTTATTTCTTGATGATAATTACAACTCTAATACAGCCTAGTTATATTACAAAGTATGGGAGAAAAAAAGGAAAAAATACAATCTGCTAAGTAAGCAAATAAATCATCCTACCAATTATCCTATCAATTACAATTTTTCCTTTCTCTGTTTTCTTTCCATTTTCAGTTTTCTACATTATATCATTTGCGATTTGATTTAATAAGTTAAATAGTGAATTGATGCACATAACTGGTTGCTGACGCTGATTTCTGTTATATTTTGTGGATGCAGATAATTTTATACGTCGAGTTATATGTAAGTGCTTCTGGCAACTTACTTGGAATGCATATATTTGCCTCAAAAATTTATTTTAGGATCAACTAAGTTTCTTTGTTGTTGTTCTACAGATAGAAAAATGACATAGCTTGTTCATTATATTGTCTAGAGGCCCTCTTAATTCCTAAGCATGCATATTGAGATAATCTATCTGAAGTTCGTTTATCCTTGTAATTTTATCACCTAGAGTTATTCCTTTTTAATCACACTAGCAATTCAGTGAGTTGCGATATACTAAGTGAATTATGTCTCTACAAGAATATGTTTTCATTTATGTTGCAACAGCTCCAAATTCTTCTGTCCAACCCCGGAAATCAACTTCCAGCTGTTGGTTTTTTATTGGCTACCAAACTTAAGAACTCGTCCATTTCAATTGTGCACATGGTCACTGGTTTCTGAAACTCTTTCAGTTCCAGAAGACTCTGTCTGGATATGTCTGTTCCCTTCATGAATCTTCGATTTCTGTCAAATTATGGTATATTTACACAGATATTAAGTTCTAGCGGGTGACATCTTGCCACATTTTGGGATTTACTAATATATGTACATGATATAGGTTCTTGTGGGCATCAATAATCTCTTTGTTGACTCCTACAGGCTTGCTGCGTTGAGTATATTATTCTGGAGAGTGATAATTTGTCCTCGTTGTTCCCAAATGCACATTTAAACTTTGGAGTGTTCGATTTAAACTCTCGCCATCTTTTTGCATTGATGGCCACCCTTGCTGTTCTTCCTACCGTTATGTTACGAGACCTGAGTGTTCTTAGCTACATATCTGGTGAGTCTATTTATTTCATTAACTTGTATTGTTTATCTGAAATAATACATTGAAAAACGTGAAAATAACACTGTTTTTGTCTCTGTAGCTATTGCATTTGATTTCCATACGAAATAGTTGTTTATGGTAATACAAAAGTTCATTTTGTTCCCAAGGATAATTATTACTGCCAACCTGACCCCACTAGAAATAAGTTAGAAGACAGAGGTAGACTAAAATTAATATAACCAAATATTGTTAAAAAGAAATTTAGTTTCATTGGATCTTTACAGTAGATGATCCATCAAATGGACTGGGAACTAAGAATTTTTGAGTAGCCAAAAGATTTGGAGTACCCTCACGTTGCTTGTTCTAGCACGACTTCACAATCCTTTATTGCATCATGCGTGTTCAATTTTCTCTTGCAAAATTTTCAGCTGGAGGAGTTGTCGCTTCCCTTTTGGTGGTTGCATGCTTGTTCTGGGTTGGCTTAGTCGATCAAGTTGGCTTCCAGGCGAAAGGGACGATATTGAACCTCTCTACTCTTCCAGTTGCTATTGGTCTCTATGGTTATTGCTACTCGGGCCATGCTGTCTTTCCCAATATCTACACATCAATGGAGAAACGGAGCCTGTACCCTGCAGTCCTCCTAGCAAGGTGTAGCAAAGATTCTAAGCATTTTCTGGTGCCATCAGATTAAGAACTCCTTTCCCATAATATTGTTCTCCAACTTAGTCAACAAAATGTTGGAAAATTATTAACCTAGATTATTTATTTTCCTGTTTGCTTTTTCTAAACTTGTTATTCTTATGAATGCAGTTTTGGGATTTGCACTCTGTTGTATGCTGCAGTTGCTGGTATGGGATATACTATGTTTGGAGAAACAGTGCAATCACAGTTCACTCTCAACATGCCTAAAGATTTAGTTGCATCTAAAATTGCTCTTTGGACAACGGTATGTAAAGAGAATATATTCTTGCAGTAGGTTTCTTCTAATTGTTATCGTACAATGGACAAAACATCATCATATTCTCTTAACAAGTTATACTGTTTAGTCCATATATATTATATTTCTATGTTGTCTTTAAAATTTCAGCCTTCCTTTCTAAATATGAAACATGAATTCATTAATTATGGAGGCCTAATTGCAAAAGTCAGAACGCGAAGAATCTATATAGGCAAGAATAATTAAAGAACAAGGGATATCCTTGAACTCATTATATGTAGAAATCCGTAATGATGAAAAAATTAAACTCTATTCCGTAACTCAGGATCTTCTCTTTTTGTCTGTCAATAATCCTGCAGTTTCTGTCTCTCCAGATAACCCAGAATATAGATAGTTTCAACCTTACTAAAACCCGAGGACAAATATTGTAGAAATTGATAATTATCCATACGGATGTTTCACTTACACTTCTTTTGGGCTCCCTGTTGCTCTTTTTTGATTGTTGCTCTCTAAATTAAGAAGTAACACTAAATTTCTGGTTAGGATCTTCATTATGTTAAGTTGATATATGATCCGGGTTGTTGCATGAAATTGAGCTTTGATTGCTGATCTCCAAGTCAAATGTTAAGCAAATGGTTGTAACTTGTTTTTATGCCTACTCTTTGCAGGTGGTGAATCCATTTACCAAATATCCTTTTCTGATACTATTTGCTGATATTATGAAAGAGGACAGCAATAATTTTCCTTCTTGTGGCACTTCCTTAACAAAAGATAAATAGCAGGACAGCAGCCTTAGGTTCAAAGACTTGTGTATTGGAGAAACTTATAAAAAAAATATAAGTACCTAGCAATATAAGGTAGTTAAATCGTAGCACGGTTAGATCATATCAGGTGAAAAAGCAGACTTGATTACACTGAAGTACATCGAACTAGGAGCCATTCATTGATTTCACTTGCACATAATTTATTTTCTTAATGGTTTCAAAGGATAAAAAGTTATCTTTCTTAACTAGAAATACATATGCATTAACGATATCCCCTGTGGCAATGAGTTTGGAGGAATTGATACCGTCGAATCATGCCAAATCCCGTTTGTATGCAATCCTCATCAGAACAGCTTTGGTGATATCTACGTTGATTGTGGGTCTTGTCATCCCCTTCTTTGGTAAATTCTCGTGCTTGACTCCATATTTTCTACGAAAATGCTCCTACTTGATTTTATAATATGAAATAAATCTTCTTTAGCGTTATCTTATATCTGTTGTTTTATACAGGTCTGCTGATGGCATTAATCGGATCATTACTAACAATGCTAGTTGTAAGTAGTTAAGAGTCATTTTTACTATCATTTTTTTCATTCTTTTATTCTTTTCTTCAGCTTCAATACCGATTCATCTTCTTTATGTTAACTGAGTGTTCCCATCGTCAGACGTTAATTCTTCCATGCGCTTGTTACCTCAGCATCTTAAGGGGGAAAATAAGCTTCTTCCAGGTAAAGCTAAGGTTTTTCCATTATATTCAGGGTATACCATCTTACTAATTAACTGCTTAATCCCTTGTTTCGAGAGGAATGGTAATCTGAAAAGTGACAAGAAACAAACAAAGAACGTGGATTTATAGTAATTCATCGTCAACGTGAAAATTATGTTCACTAGCTGTTGTAGGTTTTCACTATGATTGAGAAGATGAAGAATACAAGTTTTTCAAATGCTTATCTTGCAAGTTAAAAAATGGTCCCGTAATGAATCCTTTATACAGTAGATATATAATGGTGATCTGCAATCGAAGTGTGATACCATTACATGGTGTATATGATTGGGCTCCATATTGGCCAACATACAGAACTTAATCAAGGAAAAGAAATTTATCCATGGAAAACCAAGTTTATGTAGGCTTAGTAGTCATTGTTGTCGCTATAGCATACCGAAAACTCTAAACAGATTTCAGTTTCATTTTCGTATGAATTTAGAGCATGGCTGTTTTTAACTAAATGAAAATTGTTACTATTTATTGATTTTCTTATCTAATTCTTTTATGGTATCGTTTTTGCAGAGATCTATGTGTACATTAGTCATTACCATAGGTGTCATATCATCAGCCTTTGGAACGTTTTCAGCCATGTCAAAAATTATCCAGAATTTAAGCTAATACCGTCTGTAATATGATCTATGGCAATAGAAGCAACTAATGGTGTTCAATCTTCACATGTTTCATTATTTGTTTTATTATTCAAAGGGATTTTGTTTTTCTCCCTGTGAGTGTTCTAAAGAGAAATTCTGTAGGCTAATCTGGAAGACTATGTTTTTTTGACATCTTCGTGTTATTTCATCTGAATCTCTTGGTTCAACTTAGCCCTTGTTTGTCAATCATTCTTCCACATTCTACGACATTATTTTTTCTACGGTACTCATTTTCAACCACACATTCTCCATTAAAATAATATTACACATGTATAAAAAAAATTTCCTTCTTTTTGAACGACACATTTCAACATCAATTACTATTCCATACTCAAATTTTTGAAATTAAAGGGCCACAAACAGGATCTAATTCTTTCAGTACAAAACTATTAATTTGAAAATCGATCAAAAAAGAAGCAAAACAAGCGTGTTTATAGTTGTTCATTCAATCATTCTCAACGTGAAAATTTCCTGTCATCTAGGGCTTTGTTTGTTGGCTTTCCTCATCAGGTTGTCAACTTTCTTGACCTTTCTGCAATTGAGAGACGTTGATTCCATAAATGATATGATCTTACAATTTTGTAGAGACTTGTGTTCTTTGTAAATGTTGTCTAAGTCTAATCACTACGACTTCTTGGCCCTTTGAAAGGAGGCTGATTATTTTGCCGAATTTCTTAGAGAATTGTTATCCGTTTACCTATCCAATCGTGTCTATTTAGATACTTAAATAAATCGTTTCTCCTTGAAAAAAGCTGAACTATGATTTTAGGGGGAAAAAATCTTATTTTTGTCATTTATCTACAATATATTAAAAGTAGGGATTGAGGAAAAACTTTTCAATACCAATTTTATGCTACATATTTACCTATATGCCCAAAATGGAATTCCAAATGATTCAATTTATTTTCTCTAAATAAGATAATTAATAATTATTATTGCTTTCAAAAATTAAGTCAATTGATTCCCACTAAATGCAATTATTACTAGTTATTAATACCCAATTATTAAAAACATTATTACATACAATTAAAAGAAATTATATAAATATTTTTTTCCCAAAAAAATAATATGTAATTTGTTGAAATTTTGCCATCAACATTAACTTGATTGGTTGAAGTGTTCTAAAAAGTTTAAGCGTAACAATGTGTGAAGGTCTAGTTTCGATTGATGTGCGCCTAGGCAAGGTTTAGGCGTAAAAATAGTTTTTTATTTTAAAAATTTAATCGATTAAAAATCATTTAATAATGCATACAAATTATATTACTAAATGCAGTAACAAAATAAATATATCTTCGATCAATAAACAAGATATATTATAATAGCGCTAATTGGAATATTTTGGAGAGTTTTTTTATTTTTATTAATTAGTAAAAGATAGAAAAATGATTAATTAATTTAATAAAATATAAATAATTATTTATATAATAGTAAATACACTCCAGCCAAACCAAATGTATAATACATTACGTCAAACCAAAAGCACAATGTACTGCAACCAAACCAAAGAGATTTTTGTCCGACATCGAAAATTTACAACAAAGTCCTTAGAGATGTCTTGTATATATTAATGGATCGATAAATGGATAAACAACTTTTTAGGCCTTTCAATTTATTGGCCTAAAAGTTGAAAAACATATAGTTATTGATTTTTGAACATTTCAATCCAATTGACCTTAAAGTCAAAAACTTTATGTAGTGCCAAAAAATAATAATGCGCGTCAAGACATGCCTATGTGAGCCTAGACATACCTTAAAAAGTTTTAATGAGACCATGTTTATTTTTAATACTCCAAAATAACTATGCTATTTTTTCTTCGTTTGATTTTTTGTCCCATTGGATTTTTATCAAGGTTTTAATGATACAGATATTTTGTAATGTGTTATTCATGGGAGAATATTGTATATGACAAGTTTATTAGTAAATGACAATTGTATCCTTACAACTCTAAAAATTATTACCGTCATATCCTTAATTCTTTCCTATAATATAGGGTCTTCGCTCTTAATAAAATACACAAAAGTCTATTGACATTTATCATCTCTTCTCTTTATTTCTCTTTTCATAACATTACTTCTTTTGTTTGAAAAGTAATTTATCATATTCTTGTATTTTAATCGTAACTTTTTTTACTAAACTATAACTATTTAAATAAAATAATGCTATTTAGTACCATTAGTGTTATAACATGATTTAGGTGACATTAGATTAAATGTATCACATAATTTTATCATTAATTGAGCGTATCGTATAATATTACTTAAATTGATATTGTAGTATCAGTGATGGTATATAATAAGTACCTTGAACTTTTATTTTGGTACAGTCTTTTGAAGGTGGTATATTAAGGCATTGTTAGCAAATTAATTATGCAATAGAGTTCTAGATTATTTAATATGTATTAATGAGGCCAGCTTCGAGACCTAATCAATCTTTGAGTTATCAGTTGTAATTAATTAATTCAGATTTAAAATCAAATCATTTATATTTCTTTTGACTTTTATACCCTAATATGGAAAATATTTCAAGAAACAAATAAAAGTACGAAATTAATATCATTTGACTTCAAATATGTGTACTACGCAGCCCTAAGAGATTAACACTACACAAAGTAGGAATAATTCAATTTCTTCTAAATTGTCAGTTTACTTAGATATTACATTTCTTTTTTGTATCAATTCTGATTATCAAGTGGTCATGTTGTTACTCATATTAATATTTTTTTAGTATTTTTAGACAATAAGCATAACACGCTCATGTCACATTACATCTAGGTCTTCGCAAAAAAATCGAAAAATAGATCAAACCAATCAAATCGAACCGAATAGGGTTGGGTTGACGTAGGTAATTGGTTTGGTTTGATTTTCTTTTAAACAAAACCTGGTGGATTGGTTCGATCATGGTTTAAAACTTCAAATCGCTAATTAACCGAATCAAACCAACCCAACCCAACCCAACCCACTTACATATTTATCTTCTTCTTTTTTCTAAGGAAAATAAATATAAAAAGATAAGCCATAATCTCATAAATATATCACGATTCCCTGCAATCTATGATGTTGTCGATAAGTAGAAGTTCACAAACTTATTATGTTATAATTAGCTTTTTTTCCCTACTTAAACAATCAGACTACATAATGCATAAAAATGCAACAAAATTCTTAATTTTTCTATTGATCTGTCTTTATTAATTATATTTTATTTGTTAATCAATAATTTTTGTAATATAAAGTTATTTAGTTATTTTAGTTCTTATAATCTAATTGGATCAAAACTTGGACAATTTTTATTTTAAAATTCAATTTGGATTAAAAGTTCAAACCAACTAATCGAACCGAACCAAATCAAGCCGAATCGGTTTGGTTCGGTTCAGTTTAAGAGTTATAGTTGATTGATTTGTGTTGAAATTCACCCAAACCGATTAATTTGATTTTAGTTTCAGGTTGGACTCGAAACAAACTCAAACCAAACCGCGCTCGAGCCATCTAATTTACTTTAATCTTAATGTTAATTCAATATTTTTTTTTTGCATTTTCAATAAACTAGAAATGTCACCTTTTTTTTTTTTTTTTTTTTTTTTTGGTACAGACAAATTTAAATATTTTGAAGTTAGTGGATTAGCATTCATCAATTACATAGAAAATGCCATTTTGCTTGAAAATCTTTGACAACTCGAATGATCGACCTTCACAAAGTGCATGAATTCCAAGTGAATTAAATAATATCCAACGTTCGAGGTGTGTGTTCGATTATCCTATATGTCAACGATTATATTCTGCTATCTCCATCCTCAATTACATTGATAAGGTCTACAATATACGTATTATGATGACACGTGGCCAATGTGCCTATAGAGTCAGTAGCCGTTATTTGTTTCCTCCTTCCCAAAGCAAAAGCCAAATCATAATTATCTTACAAAACTTCCAATAATGAAAATTACAAATACCAGTTGCTTTTCATTTTGCGCGCTCCAAATTGCACATGTGAATTACAAACAAAAAATCAATTACATATACCAGTTGCTTTTCATTCTCTCTCATCTCAGTTTCGAAAAATCTCCATTTTCTGCGCTCCAAATTGAACATGTGAATATTTTGACAAAATTATAATTCGTAAATATTTTTTAAAATTTCGTTCAAT